AGACCTTCACCTCCTGGCCTCAGCTTCTCCCTCCACCAAGGCTCTTCTCACACACCTTCCTCAGATGCCTGCTCCGTGCAGCCCGGGCTGCCGGGATGGGAGCCCATCTACCTGCTTCCTTGCCTCACAGCAGGCCACCTCCCAGGCTTTCTCTGGAAAGGACCTCGATGCAGAGTGGCCCTAGTTTACACCCACAGCTACTGTGCCGTGGTCATGTCACGCCCCACCTGGGCACAAGTCTGTTCTAGATGCTTTTTCACGGCTTTGGTGGGACGCTGACCATCACAAGCACCGAGAGCCCCTCACAAGCACGCCCACTACCTCTCTCTCCTGGAGTGCTCTCTCGCCATCTCCCGCCTCTTCTGCCTCTCCCACTCCCGGCGAGCCTTGTCCTGCTCCTCTCGGTGCCGCTTCCGGCGCTCATGCTCTCTCTCCTTCTCCTTCACTCTGGCGTGCTTGCCTAACGAGAGAGAGAGAGAGAGAGAGAGAGAGAGAGAGAGAGAGAGGTGTCACGTGAAGAAACATACCTTGCTAACACTTATGTGGAAATATAAAGCGAAGAAAATATAAACGACTGGGATTACTTAATACAGTGGAACCTCGCTTCCTGAACTTTTCATTCATTCATTCTGGAAGGCTGCTTGAAAACCCAATCATTTTTTCCCATTAGGAATCGTGTAAATTAATTCGTTCCAGACCCCCAAATGATGCCGTTTTCACCTTTCTTATATACAGTACATGTCTATTGTACTGTTTAATCTATAAAAAAACCACACTAAAAACAAGGATGTGAAATGTAAATGAAAATTTAACAAAAAGGAAAGGAATGTACAGTAAAAAAATTAACAATTATAAGCAGCAACATAAGCAAAAAGCCACAAAAATGTTCACAGCACAATATCCTGAGATGATAACAGTGTTAAACTGACCCATATTCACAGATTCTCTCCTGTCACCTGAGAGATGCAAGACTGATCATACAGGTCCAGCATGAAAGGGCTGTCAGGTTGAGAAGCAAATTATTCGAGATGGGAGACATTGGACAAACGAGGTTCCACTGTATTCTTAAAATTTTCTGTATTGAATAAACTATGATTAGACTGTATATTATTTCCATAATTAAGAAGTCACCATTCATCAAGCACAGAGGACGAAGCTTAGCTCTGCTAAGTGAGCTTCTCCGAGTCACACAACTATGTCATCACCTGCGTGTGGACTAGTGAGCCCGACCTCGCGCCAGGCTGCTGTCCACGGCCGGCGGCAGCTCTGGGTGACGGTGTGAGAGCAAAGCCACTGTTCGGGCTTTTTTAGCCACAGCAATTCTGCACTGAACAGCGTGCTTTCCCTTACGCTTGTGGATTTTATATGTAAACTACCACAACGTCATGTCAGGAAAAAGAACGACCAGAGGAAAATGAAATAGCTATTCAGAATGATTTACAATAAATTTATGATTTAGCTACAATTTCACTTTCTCTCCGTCTCTTTCCACTGTTTTCTGAAGAAGGCAGGAGGCTATGAACTAGGAAACAGACCACACTTGAACATGACACAAAAGAAAAATGCTCTGTACCCGCTTCTGCTGAATGACTACGATGCCTGCGTTTCTCTTTTCTCTTCTCATCTTTCCTGTGATGAGCTTTTTCTTTCCGTGACATTTGCTGGGGTGGTTTGATAGCCAAAGAGTCATCTTCCTCTCCTCTGAAATAAGACACAAGAGGCACATCACACCGAGCAGGTCACGGAGAGCACCGGGTGTGAGGAAGTGTCTCCAACACAGAAGGCAGAACGCAGATTATCAATAAAATGGAATCGGAACCATCATTTAAAAATTATGTTAATGATGAAACTTAAGCCAAGACTATAAACTAAATGGACTCATATGGAAAGTGTGAGAAATCACTGTGGCACATGGAACAAAAATGCCTGAGGAAACGTTAGGGGGTGATGGACAAGTTCCTTATCTTGAAATAGTTTCCCATGCGTGTAAAACTGTCACACTGCGTGTAAAACTGTCACACTGCGTGTAGAACTGTCACACTGCGTGTAAAACTGTCACACTGCGTGTAAAACTGTCACACTGCGTGTAAAACGGTCACACTGCGTGTAGAACTGTCACATTGGGTGTAGAACTGTCACATTGTGTGTTTTAAACATGTGCAGTTTATTCTGTCATTTATGCCCCAATAAAGCTGTGTTTAAAAAAGGCCCCACAGTTTTAATCAAACCCAAAGTCATTTAACAGTATCTTCAACCGCCTATCTGACCACCATCTTGGGAGAGTCACAGCCTTTGCGGTTCTACCTTCTTTTCGGGTCACGTTGCCTTTAGTTAGAGAGGGATCCGAGGAGGACACAGGTGGAGACGCGGACAGAGAGCAGCGTGGGAACACGGACCCGGAGCCGCTGCTCGGCCTGTGCAAACCTCAGGCGGCGACCGCCGAGACCCCAGCCCGTCCTCAGGCCTGTGAGTGCAGGGCCGACTGAAGGCATCAGAGAGGAAACGGTCTTCCCACAAGAAGGGGGTGCGGAGCGGACACCACGCTGGAGCCGTTTCCATGGTGAACCCCAGGACCGCCGACTGGGCCCCGCGACCCTCTGTCCAGTTCCGGGCGCCTGCGCTCACCGGTCCCCCATGGAGTCCTCCCTCCTGTAGGGCGAGTTCCTGATGGCGACCTCCATGCGGTGGTCCCTCAGCTCCCCCTCCTCCAGGGAATCCCGCTTGGAGTCGCGGTCATCAGACTGCGGAGCAAGGAGAGCGTCCCCCTCAGGCAAGCGCAGCCCAGACCCAACCCCCCACACGCTGAGCGAGCTTCACTTAGGAACATCACTAAGGTTTTACACTCAAAATGCAGAAAGACTTCCATTCAAGCCCCCAGACACCCACACCACGACTCTAACGCAGAGCCCGGGGGAAGCTAAACCCGTGCATGTGCCGGGCATCGGCCTCCGCCACGGACCTGACGGCTGAGCCAACCGAGCCTCACTGCGGCCCGGGGGCTGAGACCCATCTCATCGGAGAGCCCCGATCCCACCCCCCATGCTCCCTTCTCGCACCCCTGATGCCCCTATCGCACCCCCGATGCCCCTATCACACC